TTCGAGCCACTGTTCAACCGATGATCGAGTATAATCGATGATCGTGACATCACTAGGCGCTTGGTTCGAGCCACTGTTCAACCGATGATCGAGTATAATCGATGATCGTGACATCACTAGGCGCTTGGTTCGAGCCACTGTTCAACCGATGATCGAGTATAATCGATGATCGTGACATCACTAGGCGCTTGGTTCGAGCCACTGTTCAACCGATGATCGAGTATAATCGATGATCGTGACATCACTAGTATATTCCTATGTGCGATACTGCGCGTAGATATTTGCTAATTAATTAAACCACTCGCGCTTCAATAAACTCAAGAATCACAGAGATTATAGATAACACATGTGTATATATGTATCTAGATTTCTAGAAATGTAACTCAAAACGTTCGCGCCATATGATAGTTTAATTGTACACTTTCTTACAACCCATAGCCGCACAAGATAATTGAATAAGTAATTCATAAGATAAATGCGTTCCACTCTCCACTCGCTCGCAGCTGTAACATGTGTTTTTCACGTGATGCATGAATTAGTCAGTGGAGCTAGACTAGGGGTTGTTGTAGTAATAGTCTATCTAGGGTCCCTATATACAAATTATCCCTTTGTATATAGGGAGCCTAAGTCTATCTAGAGACAGCATCGCGCATCTTGTTGCGGCTGCATTGATGTTACAGGTTCTGGTTCAGGTCGCGAGAGAAAGCACACGCGCGTGTGCATGGTTTTGTGTCTCTTTGTGCGATGTGTCTACACTTACATCCTTATATATTATATCCCTTAATTACCTTATATCTCTTTGTATATAGGGACCCTATCTACACTGTGCCTCGTCTACACAACAAACCTTAACTCGACTTAAGCTAACTCGAGTTAAGCGTTAACTCGAGTTAGCAATTATGTAGCGTCTACACGACAACACCCGATAGCGATTACTACCGATTTATTATGCATGCGTGCGCATGAGTGTGTGCGTACGTGTGCAAGTGCACATGTGTTATCTATGATCTCTGTGATTCTTGAGTTTATTGAAGCGCGAGTGGTTTAATTAATTAGCAAATATCTACGCGCGGTATCGCACATAGGAATATACGCACGGCTATAGGTGGTAAGAAAGTGTACAATTAAACTATCATGTGGCGTGAACGATTTGAGTAACATTTCTAGAAATCTAGATACACATGGACACATATGTCTTAGCTATAATCTCTGTTCATTTTGAGTTTATTGAAGCGCGAGTGGTTTAATTAATTAGCAAATATCTACGCGCGTTATCGCACATAGGAATATACGCACGGCTATGGGCGGTAAGAAAGTGTACAATTAAACTATCATATGGCGCGAACGATTTGAGTAACATTTCTAGAAATCTAGATACACATGGACACATGTCTTAGCTATAATCTCTGTGAATTTTGAGTTTATTGAAGCACGATTAGTCTAATTAATTACTATGGACCATTGTACAGCGTATCCATACAGCGCTGTACTTGAGCGGCAGCAGTGTGGATCCATTTGGAAACAACATGGCGTCCAGCGATCACGTGACCGATTTTTCCCGACTCGTCATGGCGCAACTCTCGGTATATAGGGACCCTACCGAGAATTAGAGCCTAACATGTGCACTTCATAGGAAAAACCACAGAGAATCAGACCCTAACATTTGCACTGCAGAGAAAAGCTATCGAGAATTAGACCCTAACATGGCACTGCAAGAAACCAAGGCCTGATGCAAATTAGCGAGCATTTGCGCTAATGTTATAAATCTAAATAATAATCATCATGTATCACAATAGAACTAAGAAATAATAATATCTAATAATAACTTTGTAGCCGTGTTTAAAATGCTACGGCAGAATAGGATGCTTGAGAACTGTGCAAAGTTACACGGCTGTTACTTTGAGAAAACACATTCCAGTTCTTGCTGGTTGTAAATCGACAGCCCAATAAATTAACCCCGGTTGATTGATTGCTCCGGAGAGTGGTCAATGTAGGACATATCGAAACTTGCACATCTACAGTTTTCTTAAAACTGTCATTTCAGTAAATATTTTGGATTTACCTAGAAATCAAATTCTTTTCGATTTCATTGAGTTTTTTCGGTAATATGGCGCTAGCCTACACTATGACACTCACCACAGCAGATCGTTTGCCATACTCCACCCATCGTTCGGTGGCAAAGTTTGTGGATTCAGCACAGTTGTAGCCTGTGTTGAATCCCATGTGGTAACCATAGGGAAACGTTATCATAAACTCCCCCTTGTGCTGCAGGATCTGCAATAAACACAATAATTAACATTACACTAACGAGCTACACATCTACGATGAGCTCGAATCAACTTTTAAAACACTGATGTTACTTTAGACTTAAACTAATTCTAATTGTTGATTAGTTGTGTAATTAGTTTACAATTATTTCACTAGCCATCAAACACTCACCGTAAAGCATGACTAAATATACAGGGCCCTCGCTACCCACTCGCCAATTCGCCAATGGCGAACAAATTAGTAGTCTGGCGATTGGAAGTCTTATTTGGCGAAAAAAGTGACGAACGTAATTTTACCATAATAAACATGACCCAGCAAACATCGATCCTATTTGATTGTCGAAACAGCAACATTTATTTTTGCGTGCCGGCACACTCCTGTGTCATTCCAGATTGCAGCTTTTTCCTCGATTCCGGGAAAGGTTTGTTGTCGCTCCCTCATACCAGCGCGGTGCCCACCCCTACATATACAGCAATAACCACACCCACACGACTGTAACAATCAGTGCATTCGCCCCCCCTCCCCCCGTACTTCAATCAATGCCGCCCAGCCAGCAAGCACGAGCCACGATGTGCACAGCCACGGACGTGCGTAACAGGGGTGTCGCGGGCTGCTTTTTTCGTGTTTTTTTTTGCGTGAATGCGTGAGAATGCGTAGGGCATGCGGGAGCGCGGGAGAATGGGTCCAGATGCGTGAGTCTCCTGCGAAATGCGCAGTAGGTCAGTAGGTCTGCTAACAGAGTAAGATTTAAACTAAAGGGTGAAATTTTATTTTCGGGGTGCATCAAATGCAGTCTAAGACATTCAAATGTTTTAAATTTTGCTGGGGGAGACCCCCAGAACCCTCTCTACCTCTCTCCCCCGCGTCTGCCTGCAGAATCCACATTCGTGCCTACTGCACGCCTTTGAATCCATCATGTGCGTTTTTCCCCAAACTGGGCATTACCACCGTTGTCTAATTTTCCCTCAGAAGAAACCCTGGTGTTTAAAAAAGGCCTGTCTCCACACACGGCACGGCACGGCAATGACGCTGGCAAAAGTCAAATGATTTTTACTACGCCTGTGCGTGCACGTGTGTGTGCGCGTGCGTGCGTGCGTGCGTGCGTGTGCGTGTGTGTGTACTGTGTGTGAGGTACTGTAAAAAGTAGTAAAACTGATAAGTACTAACTGGGGAATATAGTCAGCTTTGATGAGTAGCTAACTTTTCTGGTTCAATAGCATCCCGAAGTTACAAAAGTAGTAGAGTATATGCATATGCTGTGAAAACTCTAGAACTGTAAATTATTAGTATTACTGTAAATAGCTATAGTGTGTGTATAGTACTGTCTATACTGTACTGCGCGCGTGTGTGCGTGCGTACGTGCGTGCGCGTGCGTGCGTATTGTGTGTCAGATACTGTAAAAAGGTAGTTGACCCTACCATCTACAACAGTTGAAGTGGAGAGGGGTTTTAGCAGACATAATTTGGTTAAAACAGCTCTGAGAAATAACCTGAAAACAGAAAGTGTTTGTGACATTCTAACCATCAAAATTGAAGGCCCAGAAGAAGAGATGTTTGACTTTGAAAAGTGCTATGTCTAGTGATGTGCCAAAAAAGATTTTTCCTGCCTGCAGTGAAGAAAAAAATTCAGACAATTTGAATGTCTCTGTCAGTCAGTCAGAGTCATGGTGGTGAATCATAGTGTTAGTGTCTCAGTCATAGACAGGTGGTGAATAATAGTTTGTTTGCATTAAATAAGTGTAGTTTTGCACTTCATGCATATAAAAGTTTGTGAAAAAATAAAGAAAAGAAAAATTATTTATTGCCTTTTTGTGTTCAGAAAATGTTAGGCTACAGATGTGGCTAACAGGAATCCAAATTGGCTAATGAAAATTGATTCTGGCTAATTGTTTGGCTACAGGAAAAAAAATCCTAGCTAGGGCCCTGAATATACATGTATGCACTTATTGCTAAAGCAATTTGTAACATGGCGAGTAGAGCATACATCTAACCTTGTCGTATGGGATGGAGTACTGTTTCAGCATGTGTGGTGATATGATGGTCATCTTATGGCGCAAGAATGCTTGGCATTGCTGTATGCTTGAGGGGAAAAAGCCTGTAGCAAAATCAATGAAAACATTAGGACAACCATATCGTACTAAAACAGTCGTCTAGCACACGTTACTAAATGAGAACTAAATAGAAGTCTCACCTATCATTACAGATTAGTTTCCAGCTTTCCAGTAAACATACCGGGGCCAAAATATTTCAAATAGCAAACATCACAACTTTGCAATAATTTAATGTGTGACAGAGATTGCTATCTATGACTAGATACATCAGTGTATATATAGTAGATAGTCAATAGTAGTGAGTGATGAAGGCTAGCAGAGATACTCTATGAAACCTACACCGGTCCCATGCAAACTGTAATAACACATGTATAAATTAGAGAAGCACTTCACAAACTCTTACCGAGCGTCGAAACTAGCTAATGCAACAGGTTTCAATCTTTTTGTCAATTCACATTCAAGTAAGGTGCTCAATTCAAACAGAATACTGACAGTCAGTCAGGCTATAACATCACCTGCTGCCAGTCTTTCCAGACGCTTCGAATGTTCCGGCGGAATGCAATACCAGAACTTTGGTGCGCCGAAGTGCAGATAGTTGATGCTGTATAGATCCATGTCTTCAGTGTGCCATGGGAACGTCGTTTTCCACATTCCGAAATACAGGTAGGCCGTATTCACACCCTCTGTAAATGCACGTATCACAGCAGTCAATTACCAAAGGATCGATACAGAATAAATTCTGCGTTACTCAAAAATAGCCATTGAACGCAATAAATTTTCTAGTTCATACTAAATTAAAACTTCGGAGAACCTCAAATTTTTCCCTGACAATCAACTGATGTGTAGCATAAACTTAAGAAAATATTAAACATTGACTTCTAAACTTGTTTTAAGGTATTAAAATGACTATTGCGAGTTTTTTGGCTCAGAAAAACTAAATATATACTGATTACACCAACATTAAAAACACTAAGATGTTATGCAGTTATAGCATAGAAAAATGGATTTGACTACATCGTAACAGCAATCAATGTTATCATGTGACGATAATGCCTAATGGCAGAATTGGTAAACTTGTATTTGTGTCGGTGAGTAATTGAAAACAAGTGCTTGATTTGAGAGAGCCTGTACTATTTCTACGGCAGATAAGCGGTGGCTAATCCATACTTCCGTCTAGTTCAAGATAACAGAAAACGATCGTTTACAAAAACTAGTTCGAAACCAGTAGTTCGAAACTGGCACTTATTTGGTGAATACGAAGGTTCTAACACATTTTATTGTTACTCTAGACTATTGCTGTTACTCAAGCAATAACGGCAGGTGTCATGAAAGTGGTGAAAACACTGGAAAACTCTCGCAATAGTTACTTTAAAAGAATAAATGTATACAAGTAACGTGTCAACAATGGTCACTCAATTGAAACCCACAAGTATCGTTTATAGACAGATGCCTGTTCCATACAACTAGTATCACTACGCAACTGCCATCCTGCGATCTGCCAAGCGTCCTTTATAGACAAGTGTCCATTCTATAGAGGTGTCTGCTAACACAGGTTTGACCGTGCACTATATACACTAGTTATAACATTGACCCCTGTCAGAAGGATCATTACCTCCGCCCAACGGAGTTGGAGGAGGTTATGTTTTCGCTCTCGTGTGTTCGTGTGTTCGCGTATGTCGTAAGCGGTCGATCAATATCACCCAGCGAGCCAGCGAGTCAGCAAGCAAGCGAGCGTGTACATGTGATCGAGCAGCAGCAACGAGCGGCTGCTACGAGCGAGCGAGCAGCAAGCCAGCAAGCCAGCGTGTACATGTGAGCGAGCAGCAGCAACGAGCGGCTGCTACGAGCGAGCGAGCAGCAAGCCAGCAAGCCAGCGTGTACATGTCAGTACGCTGGCGTATATCGTGGGTTATTCGTGTGTTCGTGAGTCGTATGGCGTATGGCCTATGTCGCTGGCGGAGGTATGCACTCTCCGTGAGTGCACTCTGTCTAGTTATACATGTATATATATATATACGTATATGTGTATATACATATGTGCACCTATAGTAATGCCGTATTCCTCGTCGATGGCATCTAGGATGGAGCCGAGGCGATTGATGTTCCACTCGCTGACGCCCTCGTCATAGAGGGAGCCGGATATGTCTGCGCCGTAGATCGGAGAGTTGTAGGCGATGTTGCGCCAGTACTTACGCTCCATGTCGTCGTAGTCGCGGTAGTACGGCGTCTTGTACCTACAACGACATGCAGAACGTTCACCGCCGGTCACTCTAATGCAGCACTAGCGCATAAACGCAGTAAGTGTAATGAGTATATTCTATATATATACATATATATATATCAGAAGTAGATAATAGGGAAGGAGCCCACCGTGGTGTGGCAACATTAACAGCATCGTGTAATGTGTTCTATGCTAACAGTATAACGAGCGGGGCGACCACGCGCGCACTCACAACTCATAATGCTCCTCAGTAATTACCCGCCATATCAACCCCCGCCGATTTTGGGCGGTGATATATTTTTTATGAAATTAATTGCCATCAGCCGATTTAATCTCATAAACAAATTCGGAAGCACGTGTGTTCCGCGTGGTCACCAGCGGTCCTTATATATATATATCAGGAGTAGATAATAGGGAAGTAGTGCGACTTCAATAAACAAGGGAAATTCGTCATTTACTAGCCTTAGAATACCTGCGATTTACTACGCGTAACTCAACCAACTTGAGCTCAAATCGTACACAGTACATTCGCCTAGTATCGTGCGAAATCGTTTCCTCGTATACACCCGCAATCCGGAGATACAGACTAATACGATGCTAGGCGAATGTACTGTGTTTGATTTGAGCTCAAGTTGGTTGAGTTACGCGTAGTAAATCGTAGGTATTCTAAGGCTAGTAAATTACGAATTTCCCTTGTTTATTGAAGTCACACTCCTTCCTTATATTATCTACTTCTGATATATATATATAATGTAATAAGAGCATAATGGGAATCAGTGCAAAATGCCCTGATTAAGTCATGTAGAGCAGAATTTTGCTCTCTGTTATGTATTACCCCTGTGTTATCTTTTCACTTGCTGTTATCACTAATGATATTAGCAGGATCGTTTCTAAATAATATGGGGTGATTATAGGCTATAATAAATAATAGTTGTAACTAATTATTAGTTAGTAAAACTATTGCTAATTAAAACCCTCTGCAGTAGGAGTCATTCTGTTACTTTAGCAAACTTGGATAAAATTGCATAAAAGATGAATGGGAAACAACTAACAGTTTTAAAGTTAATCAGTAACTGTTGACGTACGTGCATCGGAAAACATACTGTACATACAGTCAATGTGTGTTTAGATGCAATAGAACATGTCGTTTATATTATCAAGAGTGTGACTGGTGTTTACTTGTCATTGTTTGCCTGGATGGAGTACTCCTTCACTGTCATTGCTTTCTTCTGGATGTTATACTGTTGGTAGAGTCCCTGACTGCCCGTGACCACCTGCGAGATTGGTGCCGGTATGATCATGTCGATGTTATTGTAGTCTGTGGTCCTGGGCTTCCATTCTCTCGGTGGTATCACCTGCAAACGACAAGGACGGTGATTGACCGACGAAGACCGTTCAACTACACTTACGAAACTTCTAAATTATAAAACAGATTCACTGTCGTCAAAAACTGAGAAATACACAGCATGAGTCATGCATGCTGCATACATATATAGTCACTGTGACTGCCGATATGTTACAAATATATTATGTCATATGCTGTATGTCAAATACATCTGAAAATATTGAAAGCTGCATTCAGTTTAAAAAAAAACATTTTTTAGTCATGCATAACAAAATTTCCATGGAGTCATAACGACTACTTGCTGATGTCAAATCAGGGAAAAAACACTAAATCATCGACAGTGGCGTAGACAGGATTTTTTAACAGGGGGGCCAAAAACATCAAACTGCGCAAAATAGTGGACGACTTAATATTTTAATGGTTCCTTCACCTCCCTCTCCACATCCTACGCTCTCCCACCACTCAGCTCTGCAATCTTTGTTATGGGCGCCATGCAGAGGCAACATTTTTGTTCATTGTTCTCTGCTCCCAAGATAAGTAACTGTTCAGTGGCGGATCCAGGATTCCAAGGAGAGGGTGAAAACAGGCGGGGGTATGGGGGTCCTCCCCCAGAGAATTTTGAAAATGTAGATCGCAGATGGTATTTGAGACACTTTTGAGTACATGTACAGCCTTCATTCTGACTACGACAATTCCCTTTTTAGGAGAACAATTTTTTTTTTTTTACTTTCAGATCAACAGGGGGGCCATGACCCCCTTTGCCCCCCCCCCCGAACTACGCCACTGATCAGACTAAAATAGGGGAGTATGTGAAAACACACTCGCATTAATTTTATTACCACGGGGTAAGATGTGACATAATGCTGTAATGTATTTAATCCATTACCTTCGCCAGCCCTGCCTTGTGTGCCCCGCATGACTCAATGTAGTCAACATATTTGGGGAAATCTTTAAATTCCTCCATGGTAGGATGGAACACCTGGATTTTGGGACCATTTCCAGATGCTCCCGTGTTTCCAGTATGCGACATGCTGCCTATAACAGAGAGAATGCCCCATGTTTAACCCTCCAATAGAAAATGATATGGAGTGACATAAATAGAAAATGATATGGAGTGATATAAATAGAAAATGATATGGAGTGATATAAATAGAAAATAATATAACTTTATTTCTAAATATAAAAGAGAATATTCTCTATGTACAGATTCAGAATATTCTGTATATATGAAATACATGCCTCACCTATAAATTAGTCAAATTTATTTTACTGTACTATCATGCTAGCTTATTGCATATTTGAGCAAGTAATAAATAAGTAAACAGTATGGGGGCGTGTTCGTCTGGGATGAACCAGTCTGATCGCGATCCCTTTATATACACGTAATATATACAAATCGAGAAACGTGTCAAATGTGACCTGCCACAACACTGTTAATTCCTACGAGTACTAGTAAGCAGTGCCAGTGAGCTGATGTTGATTTTACATGTTGCATCATAATTATTACAATCCCTTCAAACCCACTTTACTGTTTACAAATACAAGCATGATCACAGTGAGTCAGTCATCTGCTTTTAAACACACGCTTAGAATCATTGGATCCATGCAATATGCAGGATCCGCCCAAACAATCAAAAATAATATAAATAATGTAAAAAATATGAAACCACAACAGTGTCAACACGGCCGCAACCAAGCCGACATTGAATGAATCAATGTCAACATTCAACAACAACAGGCAAACAGAAAAGTAAACCGTATTTACAAACTTGTAAACCCAGTTGGCGTGCAAGCATCGCGAATTACATAACAACCGCAAATTAGGTCATAAAAATGCATTTACACCCCACACGATAGCACCGTTTACCAAGCCTACGGCTACACAACAACAACAGCAGCAGCAGCAATAACAACTCACAAATTGTCAACACTCGCCAGTTTGGTCAACTTTCACTGGCTCGTTCCAAGTAGTTGCGGCTTCTCAGTTCGTAAAGAAAATGCTACCGCACTTTTCCTTTTACTTAAAAATGATAATACCTTACCAAGATGGTAATATATTATTGACGCAAAGGTGGCAGCAAGATATTATATCTGCCAAATTGATAACAATCCATTAAAATCTGCAGTAAACATGTCTCACTGGTAAAATGGACGACAACTACTTTTTAGTATCAGTGCGCAATAAACATTTGGTCAGATAACAAGCTTCTCGGTAATATTTCTGCTTCATTCTGTTTTATTGGGCATATTGACGCAACATGAAGCAATATTATAAGTTATAACTAAATAAACTATTAGTTTTATAATTATTATTAAGGTGGAACTATTTTACATTTAGTTTTAAATTTCATCCGATAGATGGCAGGTAAAGACCACTTTTTATCGTTTACAATTATTCATAATAAATAATGTTTTACGTACAATAACTGAGTGAAAAAATATTGGTAAATTATAACTATAAATATAAAACCATAATTTGTATTAAAATGTTATGCTTATGTTTATTTAGTTGAAAAGAACTAAAATTGAAAAGCATCGTCGGCGTCTCTGAAATATAGGCATCTGATTTAATGACAGCCTCGTTTTGGATATCGACATCCATCGACCAACATCATGTCCTTGCTGAAGAGTATATGCCGGTCAGCCTCTTTATTGAGACACGTTCCACGCGTGGCAACTGCAGGACATCAGCGATGGATGGCCACAGAAGCTACACAGATGTCGTTCACATTTGCTTGCCCAGCACAGGTATTACGAGCAGTAACAGTCAATTAATTTTACCGTCACACTGCTCGAAATAAGAAAACAAATGTGGTTGTCCGCAGGCATCAAATGGTAAGGACTTTTTATCCTACAGGCTACACCTTCACCACTTTAGTTTCAAAAATTACCGCTAGGGACCACCACTCAAAATACTTCGTAAAAATTGCTGATCAAACCCTAACCCTAACCCTAACCTTAACCTTAACCCTATAATCTCGCCAACATCATGACACGTACGGAAGTCTAATGCTATTCTATCGACAACTCGCAGTGGTCAGAGATAACCGGCATCCGAAACCAACTGTTGAGTTGTCCAACTGAAGCACCAACAATAGCATGCAGGAAAGCACGACGAAGGATGCGCGTCATAGTTTTAGACTTCAGCAAGGGCATCTTGCTGGCACCATCGATTGATAAGTGTGAGCGCCTCAAAGCTATCTGCCACAATCGCCTAAAGAACCAAATTACGCGCCACGTATGGACCGCCACTAATAAATATCCAGGGGCTTTTAGAAGACAGAACACAAGTTCGTACGAGGAGAAGAACCAATATGTAGGCAAAGTGACATCAGGCGTCCACAATAATGATCATTTCTTGGAATCGACCTGGTCCTAGCAACGTGGGTAGATAAGTTCTATATTCACGTCCTAGGATGCCAAACGTGGAAACATGATTACTAACTGCGAACTCCCCCAGGAACACGAAACGTAAGCATATTAGTAGTAAGTAGCAGTTGAAGAAATGAATGGATAAAAAAAATAGTATGGAAGAGGAGAAAAGTAAGACGAAGAGACAGTCAAAGTATCTTTCCTCAATTTGGAAGCCGGAATCACAGTCAGATCCGAGTGCCAACAAGGCAACGCACAACAACTCTTTTCCGGGCGGTCTTGGTCGCCGCACCAGGACTATAGGCAAATCTAAGTTCGTTCACCGAAATCTGCCGTCGAATGATCTCAAGTACGTGCTCGCTCCGGTAGTGACGGCGAGTACCGAGAAAGATTCAGAAGCCCAAGGTGGACAAACCTAACCGCACTGCCGATGCTACGCATTCCGGGACAGCAGAGCGGCACCTAATAAGCCATGTCGCCGGCAAGCGCTAACACTAAAGGAGGCCTGTCTTCGACAAAATCGATTAGACGCGAGATTATAACAAGACGAACACAGCCATCCCAGCATACAGGAACTCTGCCAACCAGACCTTGCCAACGACTAGACGCCACGCCCCTCTGACCCCGATTGGAACATGTCATAGAGCAGCGCAACGCTGATACAATACTCCCGACATCCCCCAAGCGCTGAAATGGGCGCCTGCCTTTCCGTACACCGCGACTCACCACAAAGAATAACCAAAACAAATTTATATAGACTCAACTCACAAGGTTTAACTAACCCAGCACCAAAGGTTTGAACGTTACCGTTACACACAATGTGATTTTTACTAATAAACCACCGCCGAAATCTATGGTCACTCTGCGCATACTACTACACTCCACCCCACCCCCCCCCCTCCCCACACTGACACGCCTATCGTACTTGCGCATGCTACTCCACATACCCACGTACGCACACAGCCGCTACTGCTCAGTGCTGACAAGACCGAAGTGCAGCTTGTGTAAGATCTTCCCCAAGCAACAGACTACGTGTTACAGCAACGACTTGTTTCAGTCCAGTGCACCAACCTAACGCACAGGAACGCCAGGCAAGACGCGGTAACCCAGAGATTGTGATAAGATATCTCATCGCAATTCTACAAGCAGTCCCACGGCAGATCAGTTTGATCAAACTAACTTGAGGAAATCGTATGCGTGCACGAGGAAGCTTGACTAACAGTGCATAAACTAACTAGTTGGCGCTTGTGTGTAAGAACCGCCGTCAGTACCACTGCACAATAATGAGTATTCCGCTGGCAAACTCTCACCCAGCACCGTAGCAACCGATGCCTAGTACCAACTCAACTAGCTCCGTGGCGGCAACGTTCCTCACTGACATAGGAGGAATACGTGCCGTATCCACTACCAGTAGCCAATGCCGAAGCTCATGATCCAGCATCCAGCACAGTGCTCACACCAGTACAAGCGTACAACTTCTTGTACCAACATGTGCCAGTGAGGAGCCACTCAGCCATACAAGCGAGGCACCCACCCCGAGAACCAAGCCTACCTGACTTCGGTAATTCACCAACCGACGGAAGACAGACAACAATTACGATGATATTGTATACGACCACCGCTTAGGGAATATATCCACTGATCCTAATTGTTTACCTTCACTGTAATTTATCTGGTGATAACGGCGCCGCTAAGATGTTATAAATGATAAACTAAAGGGATAGCCGGCTAGATACCCCCGTGACTTCGGACCCAATAAAGACCTGCAAGCATGTTTACCTTTCTGCATGCACGTGCAACCCAACGATCCAAACCCCTTGTAGAGTTATTCTGGACAAGGCAATGGAAGCACCATACCCAAAACAAAGGCGACGCCCGAGTGAAAAGTCCTGCTAGACCTATAGGATGAACAACGGATGTCCGCATCAGTGCGCCCACGTAAGGGAAAAGTGCTGGTGCGAGAAACACTGGAATTCCACGATCATAGTAAGGACTTCATCGATGCATGCACAAACTGCTTAAGCCGAAAATCAAGTGCAGTCAATCGTCGACCGCCAATACTCAAAACAGAGGACTCATAAGAAAGAAAGGCGCTGGAAACGCCAAGTCCGCAGCAAAAGCTACGTCGGAACATAAATGTTAAGTCAAGACCAAACGAAGCACCTCTGGTGTTACAGGACATGAATAAACACGCTGATCGGAACATACTCGAGGAGAACTAAAACACAGTTGACGTGCCGACGAAATTTTATCGATCGTACTCCACGAGGGAGGGACATACTCGAGGCCACCATCACCATATGACACATCCCAAGAGACACCCACGATCTAACCACCGCGTGAGCCTGACCGAGAGGCAATGATTCGCAGAAACGCGATAAGATAAACGCAAACGGACAAACTCTCGGCGACCAAATCTAGGAAAGACTAGGTAAGCACCCAAACGCCCTTCTCTGAAAAGAAAGGGAAACATATCGTGCACCCTACTTCCTTGCACACAACTACTGATCTGATCAGACAGTGAGCTCAATCAGGCTTACCGCAGATTCTCAAGACGGAAAGTTAATGCTCCAAGCTCATCACCCTTACATCTCCCACAAAAGGGCGCATAAAACCAGCAGCCGAAGCTTACCGCCCCCGTGCAGCCCGGACTCAGTCGATCTCTAAACTGCTGCGAACTCCCCAAACATTTCGTGCAAAAGAATCACATATGGAGATCATATGAACATCAAGACAACGTTTTTTCACCACCCACAACCAGTGAGCTGCCTAGGCCACCGACAGATCGACCCGGACTCACCGCAGATCTCGGACGGTGTTTGACCAACTGTCAGAGTTCAGTGACTGTCGACAAACCCAATCCGAAAATACTATAACCTAAATTTATCCCGCACAGCTTCCTCGGCACCACTGGGCCCACAAAACATAGGAGCCCAAAATTTGTGTCTCTTATGCTCCAGCTACGCGACTATCGACCGCGCAAACTGTTGTGCTTCATAGGCACATCGGCTTCGACTCTCAAAGGCCCAATACCAGCTACTAGACCACATACGCGTATCATAACAATTCACGCCAAGCACAGTGACGAACCGGAAGCGGTACCCGCCCCACGGGTCAGTGCTACCGCTCCCAGTGCTATTGTGTCTCATATTCCATAAATGACGCTGCCAGAAATGAACAGCTTTATCAAAATATTGCAGATGGACACGAAACTGTTCGATCGCCGGTTTATGACGAACAGTGGACAAAGGTACAAAAGACTAGGACAAACGGTGTGCTGTCAGATAATGGTCAGCTGCGTTTAAATATAAATACGAAAAGTGCAAATGTTATGCATATTGGCAGATGAACAATGCCCAAGATTCTACAGCCTATAAGAAGAATAACGGAAACACCATGGAAACAGGCATATTGAAGGAATGTGAATCTGGGTAACGTTTGATAGCAGCTTGAAATTTGAGAAACAAGTGAGGGAAAATGTGAGGCAAAGCAAGTAGGCTATAAAGCACTCGATTGACCAAGTTTCCTGTCCCTGTAACCAATCCAGTCCGTTCCGTTAATGGAGTACCGCAACGTCACTATGGTCACCACCGACGAAGAATGGACATCCGTTTGTCTTTTTATGAGAGTACATGAAGGAATCGCAAGCAAAATTAGTATGTGACATACACATGTCGTACAAGGGAGATCTTCATAAAAGCTCGTTTACCGATCACTAGAGTACCGAAGAGATCGGTCCACGCTACATATCACAGATCTTTAAAATTTAAAGCCAAGAAGACATGAGACGAGGATACGGTCCTTGTAATAATGAATAAAACACACGTGTCTCATGAACTAAAACTGTTAATGAAAAATGTAAAGAGCAATCAGACAAAACAGTTTCATTAGCGGACCGTAGACGGCAGTAACAGGTCCTTACAAGTGAGTGGTCATATCAAGAAGTCACAACATCGTCAAAATCTCGGTATCAACAGCACAAGTGCATCCAGATCACGCATTTTCACACATTCATCGTAGTGCGGTAGTCCTATTTTATTCTTATGTGCCACGACAATCCCAAAAACGATATTAAGGAATAACACATTTCAAATTGACAGTCCTTGAGGGCTCAAAAAGAACCGGCCTGAGACACTGCTATGTCTGAATTATCAGCAGAGATAAAGCGAAAGGCTACAGGGAGGGGAAGCGCTAATAGCGCCGCGCTCGACACTACAAGGAATTTAGCGTTCACACAGCAAAAATGCGCGCCAATACATACGGTATCTAAACAGATCCGGTATTGATAAATACGACGCTTCCCAGAACCCCATAATTTGCCAAGTGCTGAAAAGACCGCGGATCGAGCGCTATTTTATAACTGGTCCGCGCTCGGA